ATAATGCAACAATCTTGGTTTGATTTTTAGATTTTTACTTGACCCTCTCAACCCCAAAACAGCAATTCAACAGGAGAAATAGCAGATGAGACAGAAAGAAAAATAACGACTGTGCATTTAACAAAAAGAAGAAACCATGAAACAGCAAGAGCTTTTTTTTTTTTTTTTAATTTTTTTAGGTGCCGACTATTTTTCTGTCGGGCTGTAAGGGCCAGACAATGTGCGCTCAGGAAGCCGAGACCCTTTTTTTTCGATCCCCCACAGAACTGCGGGTAGAACATGAAACCGGTCATGAACATCACATGAACATACTATTAATATGTAGTCGGTCATCGTGAATCTATTGTCTAACTTTCGTGTTCTCTTGCCCTAAAAACGTCTTGCTGCGTGTGAGAACAGCTGCCACATGGTTACACCTGCAGTTTCATTTAAACATGCACAAAAAATCTCAACTCTGTGCTCCTCATGGACGCAGAATTGGGGTTTCAGCTTGAGTTCCCATCAACAGCAGGCAGAGTTGTACATTTTGTCAGACACAAACACCAGAAATCTGAACTCTGCACCTTGATTGGGGGTTTTTCTTTTAGTCTTGAAAACAATTCAGTGATGGTTCGGGGGTGAAGGGTGGGAAGCTGCTTTCAGTCTGCTGATCTGGCCAGAAAGTTTCTCTTCTGCACAATCGCTTCCTGTTTTTTACCAGCTGGTCTGAAGTGAACTCACAAACACATGTTGTGTTTTTCAAAGCACTCATTCGGAGTCAGATCTAATGTGCTCATGGCAGTAGCCTCTAAGACATCACTCAAACAGGAAACAAGGGTTTTCAGAGCGAGAGACCACCGAGACTCAGAGAGAGATCAACACCTGCAAACTGAGTAAACACAACTCACTCACCAGCATCAAGTCACTTTTTATTCACCGATGATAGATTTTCTCTAAGACATCGCCTGGGGTACAAGTCAAATCACCAGATAACCAGAGTAAATAGTTGTACTGTCATGCTGCTGATGCTGGCCCCCTTCGTTTCCCCTTTCTACAGTAGTACTACTGTGGTTTGTGTTCCACTTCCATGAGCATGTCATTGTTCACTAACTGCTGCAGAGCGAAACTGTAACTGCTCACTTATGGAATAGAAGAAAAAAGGAAGGCAGAGTTCCCATCAAAGATTTCCCCTTTGATAGCAGACATTCACCTTTTGACTAAATAGGAGGTGAAAAAGCGTGAAGTTCATGTTTGGTATCTGTAACTGTTGAGTTCATCTGAGGACTTTTTAACATTTTTAAAGGCTAATATGTAGGAAACAGTTGAATTTGACACAAAATACTGCATTTACCTTTACATGTTTGACACGTTTACATTTTGGATTTCATAAAGTCAAAGTTTATTTAGCAGTCACAATAAAATGTATTATTTTCTTTTTCTTTATAACAAACAAACAAATATTGTACCTGGAAATACAGCTACTTCACCTTTGCGTCAATTACAAGAACTTCAAAAAACTCTGACGTCTATATTGGCTCTGTTAGACTTACAGCGGTGGAGGGAAAACAAAAGGACACAATATTGACTTTATCTTTAAATATCAAATAACCAATAAATTAAAAACAACAAATTTCTTTATGTATTAGTGACAAATTGGTAAAGCCTTCTGAATTTGACGATGATAAACATGATACTGAAATGAAAAAAATGAGATTACATTTGCAGCAAATTATTGCGTTCATTACTGATTATGGCAGATTTGTTTTTTGATTATTTGTTTGATCAATTTGCCTATGAATGAAGTGTGAGGGCCTGTGAGGGGCCGAGCACAAGAACTTGCAGGTGAATTCAAAAATAGGATTTTTATTTTACCCCAAAATGAAAAAGTTACAAGAAAACAATCTTAAATTCAATTCCATATAAGAGGTAAAAAAAAACAAAAAAACAAAAAACAAAACAGAGCAACAAAATAACAACACAAACCAGTCGCACTGCTCAGAAAAAAAAACAAAAAAAACTTTTAACAGACCTGAAACACACTGAACAAAAGGGGGATATTTATACATACTGGCTTTGTCTCTATCACAGACCAGTTACACACAACAGGGGTAACACAAAACGCTTACATCTAAACTAACAACAAAAAGCACAAAACAGTGCAAGTGGTCTATTTAATAAAAAGAATCATAAAAAACAAACGCAAAATATATCCAATCACCTAACAAAAATTAAATGAATAAACTAATATACAAATCAATTAAATCCGGTCCACCCCTTGAAGTGTCAGACACTTGGTGTGGTCTGATTGGCAGCTCAGCTAGAGGGAAATGTTGTCCTCCTCTATGTTTATTTGGCACTTACGTAACATGTGTTTTACATACAAAACATGTAGATTAGCTTTTAAACTAGGTCACTATAAATATGCATGGTTTTAGATCAGCTTGAAGTATGTCAGGAAAAAACTGACCACATACAGCAGTATAAAGCTACTTGTGAATTACTGCACCACATTACTTTAAAAGTGTCGGACCATTTTTCTGCACTTTTGCTTCTAATAAAGTACATTTTACTCCTAATGCTAATGTAAAGTTTTCAAATTCTCCCAGCAAATGTTTCAAATGTGTGGTGATCCAAGTTGATGCCCTTTTATTGTGAGACTTTGTTCAGTGTATGTCTCTGTTGTTTTTGCCGGCTGCTAGTGTTTTTCAGGCTGGACGGGGTTTTTGGTCAGGAGAGGTCTCACTCACTCTCTCCCACACCTGAGACTCATCTCTAATCAGCGCTGGATAAAGCCTCCTGCCTCCACCTGTGCTCCAGCGCCAGTGGATTATCCTCCCACGAGTGGTAACAGGCCAGCTTGACTGCGTAGAAGAATTGTGTTTAGAGAAACTCGCTTTGTCTAACTTGTGTCTTTGTCTGCATTTTACTACCAGAACCTCCCCAGCGGACTGACGTATTCCCCGGCCCAGCCTCTGCAGCCGAGCTCCTGCCTCAGCCGTTCAGCCTCCCTGTCCCTTTGGAACCTCCCCTGGACCTCCCTCCCTCACTCGGCTTCCTTCCTGGTGTCCCCTGTACCTTGCAGCCTGAATAAATCCCTCTTTCCTAACCACCAATCCCTCTGTTGCTTTTTTGGATCCCTTTCCTGCGAATCCTAACAAAATGTATGCTTAAAAATGACAAAATACAAAATCAGTCATGAAAATAGTCCATCACTTCCAGTCAGTCTACTGTTGGAATAACTTGGGAACACTTTACTTTAATCCTTTCTCCTCATAATCTTCAGCAGTTATAGAAACACTTAATAAAACTCTTATCACACACTATGAATAAAATAAGTGTTTCTTAGGACTGGGGGTGCCATGGTGTGTTGATAATAGCGACGATATTTCATGTATTTAATATTGATGTTATGTTAATAATACACACTTGTTAACTTTGGTAATAATCCGGCACCAGTAACTGTTCGACACTCCAACATAGGAACAACATATGACTCTGTCTCCACCTCCCAACACTTGTGTAATCTATAAAGAAAGAGCCCACACCCACAATAAACAAAGTTTTAAATCAATCGAGGGATTGCAATAATATTTACATCTTATATAGATGTTGCGATATTGTGACATTTTCTGGCCATGATAGTCACAAAGTGAAAATCTGATATGGTGACAGCCCCGGTTGACTGCTATATGTCCCACATGCAGTCAGTAAACAGATAAAGAATGACGAACTGCAGATTAACGTTCTATACTGTCCCTTCCTGACCACAAGATATAGTCAGTTTTCATTTCAGGGATTATCTCAGATGATAGTGGCCTTACTAATCTTTAAATAGCATTCAAATGTTCTATGAAGGTTCGTGCCAGGCTGTGTTTACAGCAAACTTTGACCTTCTTTCAAAATTATACAAAAATTAACTTTCAAAATCTTTAGGGAACGTTTCCTTACGTTTGCTGGACTCTGTTAACAACAAATTGTGACTTAATTGTACAATACTACAAAAACTACTTCAGGGACCATTTCCCAAATGTTCTCTGAAGGTTCCTTTAATGTTTGCTGGGCTGTGTGTTAACAACAAATTTTCTTGCAAAATCTGAGAAAAACTAACTCTCACAGAACCACAAGGAACATTCTCTGAAGGTTCATATTTGTCAGGCTGTGTTTACAACAAACTGACTTAAAGTAAAGTCATACAAAAAGTAACCCTCAGAGAACCTTTAGGGAACTTTCTCTGAAGGTTCATATTTGCTGGGCTGTGCAAAGAACAAACTGCAACTTTTTGAAAAATATTACAAAAACTACTCCAGGGAACATTTCCCAAATGTTCTCTGGAGGTTCCTTGAACTTTAATGTTTGCAGGGCTGCGTTAGCAACAAACTTTCTTGTAAAATTTCACAAAAACAAAACTTCATTGAATGTTCCCTAAGTGTTCTCTGAAGGTATCTTAAAGGTTCATATCTGCTGGGCTGTGGTCAGAAGAAACTTTCATGTTAAATTCTACAAGAACTAACCTTGAGGAGTGTTCCCTAAAGGTTCACATTTGCTGGCTCTGTTTACAACAAATCGCAACTTTATTGTAAAATATTACAAAAACTACTTCAGGGACCGTTTCCCCAATGTTCTCTGAAGGATCTTTTAATGTTTGCTGGGCTGTGTGTTTACAACAAACTTTCTTGTAGAATCTCAGAAAAAACTAACTCTCACAGAACCACAGGGAACATTCTTTGAAGGTTCTTGTTTGTCAAGCTGTGTTTACAACAAACTCTCTTGTAAAATCTGACAACTGCTAACCTTCGGGGAACATTCTCTGAAGGTTCCTGATTGCTGGGGTGTTACAACTAAGGTTTGTCATCTCTGCATGGTTGTTCCACTTGCCAGCATGCAGCATTTAGGAAGTTTGGGGGGCTGGAGTTCAGAGAGTTGGGTGTGCTTTCACTTGTGTCGAGCGAAACTTTTGGTGGACGGTCCCTTGGCCCTGAGCTCCGGAGCGGCAGCGCGCAGCCGCTCAGTCGTTTCAGCGCAACAACATCACCGCATGAATGAGAGCGCAGCGGACCGAGGCAGGGACACTGTTCACCGCCGCACATGAACCGCGGACGAGCGCTCGGTCCGTTTGAGCTGGATTTATAACGCCTCACCTCACTCCGTATTGATCCGCAGCCTGCAGCCGCCGGAGCAGGACATGTCACGTTGATGTTACAGCCTCCATCTTCGCCGCAAGAAGAAGCATGAAGAGATGACCGGATTGTAGAGCTGACAGGCAAGTGTCTGCATGTGCTAACAGGTTGACAGGGTTTTCGCCATGATACAAGTTCAACTCAGGCAGCACAATGTTATTTTTAATGCTATATGTGCATCTTCTGACCATTTCTGATCTTAAAGACATTTTTTTTTTTACAACGTGTTGAAGATCCATAATATAGGAACATTCATAGGCACATTCAAATTCATGTTTATATATAAATATATATAAATCAGCCTGCATCTCTTATTAAAAGACACAGAATGCAGCTCACACAGCACAAGTTTCCTCTTACCAAAATCAATAGTGTAGAATTACTTTAAGGGAAACTGCCAGCTTGATACATTGGCAGGAAGGAGGAGCACATTTACATTTAACCTGTATTTTATGCAGTGTGTACAATGCAGGAAATTGAAGTTTCTTTGTAGTTTGTGTTCACCTTACATGACCCTTGAACACCGAGTCTGTAGAGGTTAAGATTTCAGTTTGTGCGCCAAAGGCTGCATATTATAGCAGCGTGCACATAAACACATCTCGATGCTGTTATCTCAGCTTATCATTTAATATCTGTGTTGTTTTGTTTTGTTTCATGTGCTTTTATAGGCACTAAATTGAGCCGAGCATTGAGGAGAAAGGGATCAGGTGCAAGCAAGGCCCTTCAGCAACAAGCTACTGTTTTATCTGTCATGTCATTCATTCACATTATACACACTCTGCGTGTCCTCCTTGATTCGAAACAACACCCTCGTAAAGATAAATCCTCCAGCCTTCCAGGGGACACACACGGTGCTACAACGCTGCATACAGTAACACGCGTTAACAGTGGATGTATTAACCCCGGCTGTGTTTCCTCTGGTGTTCCGGTGAGCAGCGGAGGAGCTGACAGTAAATGAGAGGCCGTCACCATGCCCCCGGGGAAGTATGGGATGCAGGAGGAATGGGAGAAGGAGGAGGACCAGCAGATCACCATGGACTTCCTGCTGCCTACCGGGATCTTCCTCAGATTCCCTGTGTCTCGAAACGACACCATCAAAAACATCAAAAAAGTATGTCCCTTCTAAAGATCCTGATTCATTTCCACTGATTAATGCTGGGTAATGCAACCGTGCACATATCTATTGTGAGATGGGTTTTTTTCTAATAGACTGTAATTGATTGACTGCAGCACAACACAGTGGCTCAAATGACCACAGCTGCAAAAAAAAAACCGCTGCTGTTATTTACAATATTTGCTCGATGCGCTTTTAAACAAATTATTATTTCCCCCCTCAGACATTAAACTAATTAAAACACAGCAACCGTTTCGAACAATGCTCGCTAGTTCTGATGCGATCTGTTTAGAGAGGCAGCCACAGCTTTAGTCCCCGGTGAGCTCGGCCAGCTCTCTGCTGAAGCAGATCTACCGTTAAATGTGAGTGTGCCGTTCAATGTGCCAACAGTTCTGCCACTTCAGGCTGTTTGATTTAGCTGTGTTAAGTAATGGTACTCTCAGAGGCTGTTAAGATGATTAAAAGATTAACTGTCTTCGCAGTCGCGGTAATTCGCTGGAAATTTTAGAAAATGGTTTTAGAAAAAGGTGATGTCCTGCTTGTGAAAATATGAATCTGAATATGTGCTGCCTGACCCCTACAGGGATCAGCTTTACATGCACAGAGAACAAACTGTACGCTGCAGCTCATAAACACCAGGCTCTCAACTTTGTGTACTGCTGTTGTCTCTTGTTTCAGATGGTTTGGAAGAATGCCAGAAGCGAGGCCATGTACAGCGGACTGGGTGATCCTGACGGCTACGTCTTCACCTGCATCAAACAGACGGCAGAAAGCGAAGAACTGGAGGAAGAATCGAGGCGTTTGAGCGACGTACGGCCCTTCATGTTTGTTCTGAGGCTGGTGGCGAGGGAAGGCGACCGGGTGGAGAAGCTCACCAACACCCAGATCAGCCAGCTGATCGGCAAAGGTCAGCAGAGTCCCCGTTTCTGTCCCCCTCCCCTCCCTCCTTTTCTAACTGAGCTGCTGCTAGAGTTGCAGTAGAAGTTGTCTGTGGTTGTTGGTGGTGTTGCGTAGTTTCTAAGAATAAGATAAGAAGCAGCCTTTTGTCATTCTCACAAAGGAGATGAGAGTTGTTGTCATGTTAAATTTGTAAGTGGCAGAGCTGCTCTCGCCTGGTTCCGGTCCTGTGAATCACATCGTTTACATGCCTCAGTTTCTCAGCAAATCAAACAGAATAATTGATTAACCCTCCGAACGCCAAATCACACAGACAACTTTGAACAGAAAATCTACAAAATGACACGATTGGTCGGAGCCAGACGCTGTAAAAGCAGAAAGAGTTGTCTGATTTTTAGCGGCCCTTGAACTTTCATCAGGAAAGTTAACCAAAGCTCAGTTTAAAATGATCAGATTAACTTAAATCTACTTGTCTCAGTTTTAGATTATCCAGTAGTGAATTGTTTGCTCAAACCAGATTCTGGGAAAAATGAAAAATAGAATCTGCACTCATTGCAACTGAGAAACGTGACTGAGATGAGAGAGACTTTTCTTCTGAAATGGGCTCAAGAACACAGAACAGATGCGAGAAAAGAAAAGAAATAAATTAAAAAGTGTAATTAGCAAAAACATTAACAGTATATAGAGTCACCAGGTTTTCCCAGTGTTGGTAACATCTGTAAGGACTTGGAAAACTGTTACGTGTTGATTCCAAGTGTTAATTTTTGGTAAAATAATCAACATTTGTTTTTAACTATTTATGGCATTATAACTGTGCCATACTATACAAAAGACATTTCTGAGTTCTTTCTCCTTCTTTCCATAGAGGTGCAGGATTTTATATTGCAGTGAAAAATGAGCCAACAGTGAGGAAAAATGTGACAGGAGCAAAGAAACGCCCAGAAACTGCTCACGATTCAGAGGGTCAATATATCAAATGCAACAATAAAGCGAAATGAAATGGCAAATTGTGGCTTGCCGTCTTCTTTTCCTTCATTACTCAGCGTGACATTGTGTTAATATTTGCCGCTTTGACAAAGTGAACAGCAGCATCGATCAAATCATCCGCTTGTTGCCATTTTTTTGTGCCAATTTCTTAGGTTCTGGCACACAAAGGTGTAAAAAACAAAACAAAACAGTGGTTTAAAAAAGTCAAAACCAGTGAAACTACCATTGCAAAAACATTTGAATAGTCAGAACAAAGCTGTGGTTCAGTGGTGTGAGTTAAAACCTTATTTTTTTAAAGGAAGGAACCTTGAGGAAAACAGTTCTTGCTTTGGTAACTTGCATTCATGATGTTTATCTTTGTCAGTGAAGGTCAGCAAGTTACTGCCGAGCTATAAGCTAATGGGCTAAGTTAAAACCTGAGCACAGTTTCATAATGCGTGTATGTGATTTTCTGCTCTACTAACAAGGCTTCAGTATAGTCAGTAGTAAGCTTTTTTTTTTTGGCTCACCCCAATTAAGAATTAAAAAAAACAAAAAAACACCTCCCAGGTAGAGGTAAAGTGTTCCTTGTACTGTGTAAGACTTGAGTTTTTTTTACAGTTAATATGAAATTGCAGGTCTGCATGAGTTTGAAGCCCAGAAGAACCATGAGGTGGACGAGTTTCGGACCAAGATGCGCGCGTTCTGCGAAGAGAAGGCTCAGGAGCGGGAGAGTTTACCGTGGCAGCAGTGGATGGAGTACAGCTTCCCGTGCGAGCTGGAGCCATGCTGCTCACCGCCGGACAGCTGGAGCATGAAATCAAAGAAGAGCAAAAAGATTTTCGTCCAAATCAAGTTCGAGGCTAGTCAGGTGAGTTGCTGTGCTGTTTGCTGTGTAGTTGTTATGAGTCATGTAGTCAAATTACTGAGACAAATCAAATGTAATGGTATGATGAGGCCACGGCAGGGAACTCCACCAACAGCACAATGGCTCTGATTGGAAAAACTGTAGCTAAAAACCTTGTGTAGACAACTTGTGGAGGATGATTTTAAGTCAGTGTGAGCACATTTGGAAATTCCCCTCCTACGACATAAACACCATCTTCAAAAACATCACCCAGGAACAACATCCACAGACACGAAAGTTACGTTTTGTGTGATTTTCTGTAAAGATGGTGCCCTTATTTGAATTACGTCGCTCTGGCAGGAAAGCTTCATGCTGCAGCAGGACCCTCACGACCTCCCGGTGGCCCTCATGAAGAGCGCCCTGAAGAAGAAGGCCACCGTGTTCCGCTCTCTGCGGCAGGAACCAGAGGACTACACCCTACAGGTCAACGGGAGATGGGAGTTCATCTATGGGAAACACCCGCTGTGTCAGTTCAAAGTGAGTCACTGCAACAAACAACAGCAGATTTTTAAAAATGTGATTCTTTTAATTATTCTTATCCTTTAAATTCCAGCGGATGTTGTTGGTTTTGTGACTAAAGATTTGATCTGACAACAAACCATCGTACAGTAGAAATGAACTTGAATGAAGTGCATATTTAACCCTTTGATCTCCGATGGGAAACACAAGCCACAAATTGCTAGTAATATATTAACCCTGTGAACCCCACACTCCCTGTGGGTTTATTTTCCATTGCAATATAAAGTTCTGCACCTCTATGGAAACAGCAAAAAGCATGACTAGAAGGAAGAAGAGCTCAAAAAATAAAAAAAATTCTTATTTCTTTTGCAAAAATTGAATAAACCTGGTACGTTCAAAATGTTCCCCTGTGCAGACGTTACCAACACTGGAAAAAATGTGTCGCTTAACATACTATAGATATTTTGCAACTGACGCTTTTAATTTGTTTCCATACTGCTCAGTATAAACGCAACCTGCAGTTTAGATCAGTTCAGCAAAAAAAAAAAAAAAAAATAGTAATAGCTTCAAAGTCGCAAAGGAGTGCCGGATTTTTTGTTTTTCACAGAATGTGGTTTCTGCAAACGGCTTGTTTTTGGCAAATTCAGTCAAAATGAGTCATGTACGGTAATGGGATTTTGACCAAATGTCAGACTTTCACACTTAGATTTGGTTCATTTTGCAGACGGAATTCCGTTACAAACAATTACGTAGTTCAAGGATTGTGAAAACAGTTGAAAATCCAGCAATTCTTTCTGTTTTTAGTTTGTGGTTATGATAAATTGTATGATTTTAGTAACTCTTGAAAATATAACATGCTGTTTTGGGGTTCAGAGGGTTAAAACAAGATCTTCCACCCTTGATTTAACATGAAGCAATGAGGCACCGCTGGCAGCCGTCATCGATTATTCACAGTTGACACTTCATTTTGGCCTCGTTCTTCTTCGTAGGACGATTCACACGGATCTGAATCTTATGAGGGAACTAAATGAAGTGTCCGCAGAATCTGGATTGTGCAATTTTTAGTATTGTTTTCAAGTACTTCCTGTGTAGCTTAGTCTTTATTTTTGGTTTCAATTACTGGGAAATAGATCCCAAGTTTCTATTCGGACTGACGCTCTGTGTCTTCCCTCGTTTTGTAAATTTTGCTGCATTTATTTTACACTCACGAGCCTTCTGGACCTGCTGCCGACAAGCATCCTCGCTTGCTTCCAGACAATCGGCGCAGATGTCGTGTGGATTTTTTCCAACAGCCATTTTCTTTTGTCTCACGGAGCAGCTAATAGCCTCCATCACTTACGTCCTGCTCATGCGGACACTAAAGTTTTGTGGATATCTGCTCTCCTCTGTGATCGACCCAACCCAGAAATATTCAGTGCAACAGGAATTTAATCATTTTCCCTTTTTCAAAGCACCATCTGCCTTTGTGAAATTATTACAGAGTTTTTTTCCAAAGAAATCAACATGAATTTATTTAACCACATGCGAACTACTTCTTAAAGTATGTCATACAGTGAACACTCATAAAATCAGTTGTTAAATCAAGCTGTTCAAACTTACACGATCCAATATTTTCACTTTATTTTGCTAAATTTGTCGATTTATTTATTTTTTTAACCTTTGGCATTGAACTGGCATTTTTTTGTTGGTCTGCATCAGAATTCTTAATTCATTCAGTGTAAAACAAGGAGACAGCAAAACAGAACACTCGAATCTAAAGCTGTTATTTTCTCAGTGGGTGATAATTACAGCTCTGAGTTTTGCCCTGCGCACGTTGCCACCAGTAGCTGACATTGTGTCAGATCAGGAGTGGGGTGAGTCAAGATTTTGGTGGCAGGAGACTCCACTGTTGATTTTGAAACTCCAGCTACCTGCGGGGGTGACTCATATCTGTCGAGCAGCCCTGCAGAAAGGAACTGCATCCATCCACACATAATGAGATTTCAGCTGCATTAACCTACAGTAAATGAACAGCCTTCAGGAGTTAACCAGCGCTATCAGAACACTGGGAAATATCTGTGGGTGAACTGACTGATGGCTGCTCCAGTAAACAAAGAAAAAAAAAAAATCATTTTTTTCTGTCCCCTGCTGGTTTGTTTTCTCCAGTACATTTTCTCGTGCCTGAGAAATGGTCAGAACCCTCACCTCACCATGACTCACTACTCCACCATCGCCAAATATAAGGAGGAGCAGACCAAAGTGTGCAGCCAGGCGTCCAAGAGTCGGTCCCTGTCCAGACCTCCTCCTCTACCCCTCAAGAAGGTAAGAGGTCGACCGGCGGCCTTCATTAATAGAGCAGCTCACTTTCTCTCTCCTCATCACAGCCGGCGGACTTTGGCACAAATATTTTGCAGCACAGTGTCGATAATTTACATCTGACACCTTTTCTTGCATTTGCTGAGTTTCAGCCCATATCCTCTGCTGTGCAACTGCGCTTGCAAAGTGAGAACTATTTATTTGTTTTTATCCCTATTCAGGACTTTCATGTTGCCATACATAGAAGGTCTTTTCAGACCCCAAGAAAGAATATGTGCAAAATATTTGTTGGTATTCATTATAGAGTTTTATATTATGTTAAATACATTTTCTGATAAGTTGACGTATTTTTGGTTGCATGACAAATGTCCCTCTTTTTATATTTAAAAAAATAAAATAAAATAAAAAACAATACCTGTCACATAGACCAAAGGGCCTGGGGTCCAAAAGACCCCCAAAGTCATGAATAGGGTTCAGCAGCAAAAAAAGTGGTTTCAAACTAAATTAATCAAAGTACCTGTAAGAACTTTTGTCAGTTTTATCCGGTTTCGAAGTTGGTTCCCTTTTTTTTACTTTCTTATGAAAGGATACGTTGTTGTGCATCTCACTACTGACATGTTGCCAAATAGGAAACTGTAGCAACAGTTTCATGACTTGCATTCTGTCGATGTCTATAAATGCAACTCTAATGTAAACAACAGGACGGAAGGATGAAAATTTCCTCTTGTGTGACTCCTTCCTACAGCAGAACACCTCGTCTCTCTGGTCCATCAATGAGCCTTTCTACATTCACCTGCTGCAGGGCAGCCGAGTCAATGCAGACGAAGGAATGAAGGTTGGTGTGGTTTTGCGTAGGTTTTCTCTCACTTTTCTGCTCAATGAAATGTGGCATCCACTTGTTTACCAATATCTCAATTTCAGTTGTAGGAACAGTGGGGTTGACATGTAAATGACAGAGGGTCACATGGTCCAGACCACACGTTTCCCATAATTCATCAAGGCGGTTGGTTAAAGCTTCAAAACAGGAAGTGGGGAGAGACTATCTGTTTTTTTTACGTCTCATTCGGGGCCTAGATTCTAAGAAAAAAGGCAGACTTCATGGTGTCTCTCTCTCTCTCTCTCTCTCTCTCTCACTTTCAGATGCACTTCTTTTTTCGAAGGCGTTGCGTGCATTTCGTTACTATTGCAGATGGGTCCTGACCTATCTTGAAATTTGACAAGCGTCTACACAGAAAGCTATTTTGATGTTTCCCCGTAAATACTGGTCAAAGGATGTAGATGTATCCGGTTGCACACTATATTTCTCATGTCAGTTTTTTTTACATTTTTTTTTGTCCATGTCAGAAAAAAGTGAGAAAACAAGTGGGGAACTCTGTTAATGCGTGTCTGTGTTTGTGTATCATATTTAACTGTGTTACTGTTTAGATGGGTTATTAAGTGAAAGTGCACTTCCGGTTGCTTGCCTCGGAGCATCATGACTCACGGCTAATTTGTCCTGTCACATAATTATCAGTCATGTCTGCAGTTGGCAGGCCGAGGTTTGAAAACACACCCTGGGGGAGAATAGCCACTCATATATTCAGTAAATATAGATTCAGTCTGTCTTGATTTGGCAAAAGGCAGGAACTTAATGGTCGTACAATATTGAATTATGACTCCTGTGGTTGTTTATCATTTTGGATGGACTCAGCATAGCTTCGAAAAACGACCTGCTTTCGCTATGTAGACCCTTTGACTCATAGCTCGAGTGACACAGGAAACTCTGAATCATCTAGCGAAGTCTGTAAATCTTCCACAAACAATCTCCTTTGCACGAGTGGTAAAGTCTTGAGCTTCCATAACCGCATGTCATGCTGTTTGTCTAATCACCCCTGTGTATGTGTGCCTCTCTCCCCCTACCCCGACCCCCTGCAGCTGGTGGTGCAGGCCGGCCTGTTCCATGGCAGCGAGCTACTCTGTAAGGTGGTGACGAGCTCCGAGGTGACAGTTTGCTCTGAGCCGCTGTGGGATCAAAAGCTGGAGTTTGACATCAACGTGGCCGACCTGCCTCGCATGAGCCGCCTATGCTTCGCGCTCTACGCCGTCATCGAGAAGGCCAAGAAACCCCGCGGCACCAAAAAGAAGAATAAGAAAGCGGTGAGTCTTGTCAGAAACTCGCTGCGTTTTTCGGGGTGCCTCGGTGCGCACCTTAAGAGTTTGAGCAGGCGGCTGGTTTGGGCTGGTGGGTGTGAATTTGTTAGCAGGCACAAACAGATCTGTTTCCTCTAGTGCGTGTAGTCGGTGTGTGTTGTGTGGGTGTGCTGCTGCGTCTGGTTGTGCAAGTGTGTTCAGTGGCAAGGCTGCGGTTAACGTTTCCTCTGCCTCAGCTCTTTAATCTGCACATCAGTCCAAGGAAGGAAGGAATTGGCAAACATTTTCAAGGAATTCTAAATTCATCTTCACAGCCACTATGGCACTCTCCCACGGACCAAATTTCACCTTATCATTTATTACTTTAATTTGGACCAGGGACAGTTTGGAGTGAAGGCCTAAAACATTACAAAGCAAAATTTCTTTATCAATAGACTTTTATCAATGTCTTTTTTTATGACAAATTCTGCATGTTTCAGATCTTGGATTTGAAATTTATGTACCAAAGCGTGGGGATTTTTACTGTTTTTTTTTGCAGTTTTTGGCCATTTTTTTGATTTGAAAAACTGAAGCACAAACACAGCAGCTAGCCAAGACATCCACACTATAAACATTATATTTTATAGACAGCAAGTCTTTATGCTTCTCCGTGTCCTTTCCATGTAATTGCACATGACAGGAAAAGCATACCACAAAAAAACCTAGCAAACGTAAGTGTAATTTGCACGTTGATATTATTAACAATAAGAATAATATCCCCATGGTCAACCGCAGACATGATGCACAGCGGTTTTGGCGTCCTCTTCAGAGAAACATGTTTTATTCTCATACAAGAAAAGATGTTGTGTCACGCTCGGTTGCACAACAAGACGGCCTTGTAACCACACTACCAGCCCTTTATCAGACTGAATAATTTCAGTTCCATTTAATGTCTAAATGGCGATATAAAGAGATATGCAGCAGAGATGTGGATTGTTTTGAATGAGACACGTTTTCTCCCCTCTGTCTTATCTGCGCTTAGTATTGCAGCAGTGATACTCAACTTGCAGCCCAAGGGCCAAAAAAACAGGCCCTGTGGTGGGGTGCAAGCACAATGAAGGTTTTTTCGTCTTTTTTTTTTTTTAATGTAGTAAATGTTTAATAATGTCTGTTGGCTGTTGTTCAGGTAATTTGAAAAGACATTATTTTAAAGAACAATGAGTTATTAGCCTTTTAATGTTAAATAATTTAGTTTATATAATTGTTTATTAACTTGCACCTGACCTCCTGTCATTTTGCAAAAGTGGGTGAAGCAAATAGATTATCCCTTATATAAGTAAGATTAAGTATAGTTTATATCAAGTATATTTAGGATGGTGTCATCTGTAAAGAACAGGTGCTTTGCTTCTGTGTTGGAGAAACTGTTAAATTGCACAATTAAGGCTGAACATCAGTAGAGACCGTCTGAGACAGTATGAAAGAAACAAGCTGGTCCAAACCGAGACAGTAAAGTTCAGTAAAATCCACTGTTTACATTGATACTAATATAAATAATGTCCATTTTTACAGCAATACATTTTTATTTAGTACAGGATTAATAAGTAAGTTGACAGACAATTGATGTGCAGTTATTTTGATCATGAATTAATCGTCATTTTTCAAGATTGTCCCAGCTCTGTGAGGATTTGCTGCTTTCTTGTGTATTGCATATCATTGAAGAAGACGTGTTAAGCACTGGGAGACTTTAACGTCTCTGATCAAGAACATCAGCTGCCTAGTCAATATCAATAAAACACTAATCTGCAGCTGCAATTTCATCGTTAATCATAAAAATTAAGTACCATTAACAATATAGCGGTTGATTCACAGTGAGTGTACGGTTTTTGCCATCCTCCTTCCTTCTTTAAAATCCTGTTTTCCTGCACAACTACAACAGCAGTAGTACGACACTGTGAGACTGCGTTGGATGGAGCCTCCACACGCCCACTCACTGTACAACAAAAAGTACAGCGAGCAAAAGCAAATTCCCCTTTTTCTGCGGCTGTGGTCTCAGCATGTTGTTGTTTTGAGGCATTGCAGCGGCTGCAGGCATCACATTCGGGCGGACCAGCTGAACATTTTGCCCAGGTGTCTTTCACTTTACGGGCATCGAGGCTACTTCTGCTTTCTGAGCAACTTCTCTCTTCTGTTGCCCGGACGAGAAGTCCTGTAGCCAGACGCCAGAAAGACAGACGGAAGTGGAGCTATTTTAGCCATTCGTGTTTGTGTGCATCGCATCTTTTTTTAACTGGTGGGGGGGGGGTGCTCAGTGTAAATTTCTACACATTGAAGTGATGGAAGTTATTTTTGAATGACTGCCTGGAAGCTAATTTCAAGTTATGTTTCTTCATGTGCTTCACAGTGTGGAATCAGTAAAAAGTTTCCGCGAACAAGCTTCAAACTTCTTGATGTCATTCAGAATAAAATGTTCTTAACGCTGTGTGAGTTAAGTGAACGTCTAAAATGCACCATGTGTGGGACCGTAAAGGGTTAACTGCTCAAAGTGTTTTAGAATGACTGATAAAAAAAAAATATTTTATCTGTAAAGAATCTCAACGTTATCTTTTGGGTGTTGCAAAAATGAGTTGACTGTTCGAGAGGGAAGGAGCTTGAAGAGAGCAGATGGGTGTGAGAACACATTTTATCTCTTAAGTACTGCATGCATTTTGTATTTAAATGAACTCATCTTAGGATGGCACAGTAAAACTAAAAAAGTTTTGGGTTTAAGTCTGCTGGGGACTTTTTCTGTACATTTTGCATGTTGTTCATGTGCCAGTGTGGGTTTTCACTGGCTTCCTACCACAGTCCACAGACATGCTTTGGTTAATTAGTGCTTGTAAATTGGCTGTAGGTGTGAGCATCAGTGGTTGTCTGTCTCTTTGTGTTAACTCTGCCTCCTGCAACCCTCTGCAGGATAAAGCGGGTATAGCTGATGGATGGATGAAGTCATTAAGTTGTTGCTCTCCTTCTTTTATATTCTTGTTTTTAAAAGACACCAACACTAAATCCAGGATTTTTGGCCTATAAGCCGAAACAACAAACCTAATCCCTTCCCGTCGCGCTCGCTGTATCTTTTCAGGATTGTCCGATAGCCTGGGTGAACACCATGGTGTTCGACTACAAGGACCAGCTAAAGACTGGGGAGTTCCTCTTGTCCACATGGCCATCTGTTCCCGGTACGTTTAGCCTCGCCTCTTTTTTACATGTCCTCCTCTTCAAAAACACCTCACATGTTCACAGCCTCCTCCACAACTCTTGGCAGCACACAGTGAGGCCTGAAATACCCAGAGTGATATGAGGCGCCATCAAAACCCCACATGGTCGCACATTTTGTGTTCGCTGAGGCCTTTTTAAGATGTTGAAATGCCTGCTGTTCCTTCGTGTCAGTAAAGTAGAACTGCACGTGTTTATTAACTTTAGCTGTTATGCAAAACGATTTTATCTCTGGGTTTTTTTTGCTCTTGCGGTGTCAAAAGATAGATAAGGGATTAGAAGATAAAATATGCATGTAAGCAGATGAAACCCCCAACTGAATGGTGCATTTCACATGTACCATTTTTTGTCACAGACGACAAAAGTGACCTGCTGAACCCAATGGGAACAGTGGAGAAGAACCCCAACGTGGACAGCGCCGCCGGGCTTCTCATTCGCTTCCCCAACATCCGTCCACATCCTCTCTATTACCCTCCTCTAGACAAGGTATTTACTCCCGAAAATATATATTCAACACATGCTAAGATTTTGATTTGTATTCGAATCAGTTAAAAAAAATCTCCTCTGTTTTCAGATAAGTGACATAGAGAAAAATGGCGACGCAGTTTATGTCACTAAAGACGAGGTAAGAATTTTCAAAATGTCACATTTTACAGTTCAGCGGTTTGTTAGTGGATGCATATGTTAAGAATGGGTTATTTTGCTCTGTGCAGTACGTAAGACTAAAAGAAATTATGGACAACAAAAACTACACCGAGTTTTTCGAGGATGAGAAAGAGCTCCTGTGGAAGCTTCGCACCGATGTCCGGGACCGGTATCCTGAAAGTCTGTCCAAGCTGCTCCTCATCACCAAGTGGAACAAGCGTGAGGACGTAGTTCAGGTATAAACGGAGACTTCTGGGAGGGAAACTCTTGCAGGTCAAGTCAATTGTGTCTCCTAACTGACTTGACGTGCATGTTCATGAGAGTAATTTAACATATTTCACATAGAGTATAACACTTGTGTGCATTTTTACTGACTGGACACCATATCGATGTACCTCATGCTGAACAATCCAACCAGTAGTGCTCTAGATTATTATTAGTTTTTAATTGTAGTAATTAATGTAACAATTAATTGGCTTATTAATTGATTGATTTGGCCTGTAAAATGTGAGTGTTCTTAATGTTTTCTGTGTAGTCTGTTAGCATGCTAACATTTGCTAATTAGCATAAAACACAAAATACAGCTGAGGCTCCCATTTATTTTTGCTGGTATTTGGTCATAAACCAAACAGCTAGACAGGTTACAAATTTGACCTTATGATTCAAAAATTTGTTATAGGTAAGATATTTAATTCTGAACCAAGATGTGAACCTCGTGCTGAGAGTAAAAGTCATGTAATCGCCATATACAGAAGCCTCTGGGAATCAATAATGTCTGCACAAAATTTCATACCGATCCATCCAATACTTTTGTGTTCGTGTTACACCACCAGCAAGGCTAAAAACTAAAAAAAAAAAATGCTCACCCCCTTTTTCAAGATGGCTTTCAGAGCTTGGAATTGTATATTTTGTGCTCAAGACCCAACAAATGTAATCAATAATGCATTTTAATCAATCCTACAGTGGCATGAATCTGAGCAAAGCAGGGAATCATCATTGGAGAAACTTAAATCCAGGAAATGATAGTTTGATAAAGGACTTAAACAATTGGTTAATTCTGAATCAAAGTCATACCTGATTAACATTTTCAGCATTTGTAAAGGCCTGCAATTTTTTTTTATTTTAATCTTGATGAAACAATGCTCACTTGGTTCTCCTCAGATGGTGAGCTTGCTGAGGCACTGGCCGGACCTTCCTGCCATCTCTGCCTTGGAGCTCTTAGACTACAGTTTTCCCGACCCAGCGGTCCGTTCTTTCACCATCAGATGCCTCAAGAAGCTCAGGTACACACATAGCTGAGCTCATGATTTAGTAGCATGCATCATTTTGAGTGTTACCAACATAACAACATTTCTCTGCACACAGCGATGATGAACTGCTACAGTACTTACTCCAGCTGGTCCAGGTCCTGAAGTACGAGTCCTACATGGACTGTGACCTCACCACTTTCCTGCTAGAGCGGGCTTTGTCCAACAGGAGGATAGGACACTTTCTGTTTTGGCATCTCAGGTGAGACGCTGTGTAGAATTTGAGAAAAAAAAAAAACAAGATCACAACAGGTTCTTCTGCAGCCTTTTGTTCAACATTGCGTTTATTGTAGGTCAGAGATTCACGTGGCCTCCGTCAGTCTGCGTTTTGGCCTGATTCTTGAGGCCTACTGCAGGGGAGACATCCACCACATCAAGCTCCTCACCAAACAGGTCGACTGACTCACTCACACTTACTCACACTAACTTCAAGCCAAATGTTTTTGTTTGTGCTAAATCTCAACCTCTGCCTCACCTTTTCACACTCAGAATGAAGCTCTGGGCAAAATGAAGGCCCTGAGTGACATCGTGAAGTCGGGCTCCCAGAAGATGACGGTAGAGGACCTGAAGCTGTGCATTAGACAGGAGTCCTACCTGGACGCCCTGTCAGACCTGTACTCCCCACTCAACCCCAGCATCTTACTCCCTGAGATCTGGTTAGTGCTCGGACACACACACACACGCACTACAGCATAATTGTCTTTTATCAAATTGCATTTTTTTCCTCCTTAATTGGATTTTCCGGGGTGGTTTGGGTTCCTTTCTGGGTTTACTGGATTACAAAATGTTACGTTTATGGAGTATATTAAAAAAGTCACCCTTTGTTCTTACAGGATCACAAGACTATGTTGTATTTTAAATTATACCACATGGCCTCTTATTCTTCTATCTCACTCCTAAACCCCACACAAATCACGATGGGGGATTTTTTAAATAGTGTGTTGGTATAATCTGCCCATTTGTTACAGTGAAACACAAAGGACAATAGTCATCGATGCATAAATAAGTAACAAGTCAATTTGTAGAATTTCCCCAGGGTGAAAAAAAGTTTTCTATTTGGTGGGGAAGAAATGTTTATATTGTTCTCTATTCAGATGATCATGTGTTTAAAATGAGTCTTGTGGCTGTTGCAGTGCAGAAAAGTGCAGATTTATGGACTCCAAGATGAAACCACTCTGGCTGATGTATGTAAACCCCGCCATCCAAGGAGACATGATCGGCATCATCTTCAAAAATGGGGATGGTGAGAAGACAAGAAAATCTGAATACATGGTCACACACCCATACAGTGCACACACAGTGTCTAGAATTAACCTGTTTAAAAATGAAACAGTGAAAGAACACTTAGTAACACATTAATATGTGCTGGAAACAAATATATTCAGTATGTTTGTAAAGGGACATCCCCGAAATGTAAAAAGAGGAACGTTAGAAGTTTCAGCAGAGCGGGGTGAAAACAACGACTGTATGTAAAAGATGGATTTCGCCCCGACACAGAAGTGCCTTAAACCTGCATCAGCCAGCAGGGGCAACTCCTCTGGTTGCAAAAAGAGGCTAGGTTGTGCAAAAGTCTATGAGAAAAACTCACTTTTTACTCAGCTTGTTACCTCCGTAAACATTTTCTTCAGAAGTTTATGTTCTCAACTGCTAGTTTCAAAATGTTTTCAATACAACATAATGTTCTTTTTGAAATCATGGTCCTATTTAGAGTAAAATAGATGACAAAGCAGGGATGTTTACCCTATCGCTATTGCTGTATATAGTGTCCTCGTGTTCTTCACCCCAAGATTTACACGTTCATCTCTAATGTACAGTCTACGGGTGAAAGTTAGAATAAGATTAACATATTTCACCTTTTTCACTCCCCACCGTTCAGATCTTCGACAAGACATGTTGACCCTGCAGATGATCCAGCTCATGGAGAACTTGTGGAAGAAAGAAGGCCTGGATCTCAGGTAGGAGCTGCTTCTTGCAGCAGTTGATTCAGAAACAAATCTTTTATATCACCCTAAAGCTTTTCATTTCACCCTGCACTCACAGGATGATCCCATATGGCTGCTTGTCCACTGGAAACAAAATGGGGCTCATCGAGGTAGTGAAGAACTCAGACACCATTGCCAATATCCAGCGTAACAGCACTAACAATGCTGCTACCGCTGCCTTCAACAAGGACGCTTTGCTCAACTGGCTCAAATCTAAGAACCCTGAGTGAGTATGATGAAGTTTGACAGTGGTTTTTCATAGAAGCTGCTAAATGCTGTCTTATACTGTGAAGATACTTTATTGATCTCTCGAGAAGTGATGACTCTTTAACCTTAAGAACCAACCACTGGGTTCAATATATGCACTCAGGAGCACAATTTCAGCCCACACAGAGGCAACAGAGCACAGCCGCCCATACAGCCTTCTGTCTGGGAACTTGCCCCAGCTCCAAATCTGGGCATCCCCCAAATGCTCCCAGAACAGCTCTGTTATGAGTTGCGTCCCAATTGAAAATGTGAAACCAGTCCTGGCCATGTTTTTCTAATATTTAAGAAGGCAAGCTTGCAGAATTGATTTTGTATTTTTGTATGGTTTCAAAGGAAACAGTAATTGCAATGAGTTGGCGGGTTAGCGCCAGAACGATCTTGAAAAGCTAAAAGCCTTAAAGCTGTGTAAAAGAAAAAAAAAAAAAAGATTTTATTTCTTGCTGGAAATGAGGTTTGTAAATATAAAATTAGAATTGACATTCGGAGGTTTTATTTTGAGTGACATCTTGTGTAATACAGAGCTTACGTTCTTTCCTCTGGGTGCAAATTGGCCACGTATATTGATTTCTTGTACACAGCTGTATCACTGATGATGTGTCTGAATGCATTGCAAGGAGTGTGTAAAAACTGCCACAGAGTTCACCATAACACTTGGGGATGGTGTAAAATGTGTCACATCTGCTGGGTGATGTTGTGTTAATTAACACTTAATGTTGGGTTGGATTCGTTGCGTTTCTCTGTCTATATTTTTGAGATAACATATGTTATAAATGAAATAACGCACATTGAATTTAATTAATATGCTAACACACACACACATATATATATATATATATATATATACATACTTGCTCCAAACTACATTCAAGATTCCAGTGTATGTCATCTAATGTAATCCCTGCAGTAACACAAAATGCACAGGTTTCTGTCTCTGAGCGTTTCACTTCATGTGAGCATTATACAGCGTCAGTTGGAAAAGACGGGTACAGAGAGTGCAGTCGGTTCCTTTTCTTGACAGTCCACCAATGTTGGGAACATTGAAGTTTTATGTCTTACGAAATGCTTCCTCGATGTCTGTGTGAGAGTCAACTGTGCTTACTTGAAAGCATGTTTTCTGTGCAGCATTATGAACCGCTTCAGAGCAAGACAGTACACCGGCGGCTACACCTTAGAGCGACATTAAATGAGAGTAGATTTTTATTTGGTGCCAGACAGTCTAAAGGTCTTGTCAATTCTAAAAGGTCCTTGAAAGAAAGAGAACTATTTGATATAATGAATAAGCCTTTGTATGTCACGTGTGTGAGACAGGCCCAGCTGACTGCACGACAGAGCAGAATGGTAATTCGCTTAAAATGCTGCGGTGAACGGAACGGAACAGGGAAAATTAGTAAAAGCGTAACACAGTGAACCCTGTGCATGTCGAGGTCGTGAAAGGACATGACAGTCAATTATTAATCGGTTACAGGAACTCCTCTGTGAATATTTCATATTATACTGTATCAATAGAGACATTATGCCTCATAGCTAAAAGGTTGTGTGTGTGTGTGTGTGTGTGTGTGTGTGTGTGTGTGTCTGTAAAAAACAGGTTATATGACAAAGAAGTGAAAAAGTACTGTAAGAACAAAACCAACTCATGCTTTGCTTCCTTGTTTCTACCTGTTTTCTTCTTTTTTGTCACCAGGGACAAACTTGAGCAAGCGATAGAGGAGTTCACGCTGTCCTGCGCTGGCTACTGTGTAGCTACTTATGTGTTGGGCATTGGAGATCGTCACAACGACAACATCATGATCAGGGAAACTGGGCAGGTCAGGTTTACTCCATGTCTTGAATCACTGTGTATGTACTAACACATGGATGTCACTACCTAATGTTTTAACATAACTATATAATGTGTGCTACTGGTTGGTATGTCAATGTTTGTTAGTTTCCAGTGAGCAAAAAAACTATTTGGTCACACTAGTTGGTTTTTTTGGAGTAAAATTGTTTCAGGGCAATCCCGAATTAGTGAGTCTTTCAGTAATGTAACTGTGGGCAGTGACTCAGAACCAACTTAACCATGATTTTAATCTTCACTTTGTAGCTGTTCCACATTGACTTTGGGCATTTCCTTGGAAACTTCAAGCGGAAACTTGGGATCAATAGGGAGCGTGTGCCTTTTATCCTGACATATGACTTTGTCCATGTAATCCAGGAAGGAAAGACGAACAACAGCGAGAAGTTTGAGAGGTACAGGAATTACGCTTTTGCAATTCTAAATGATGTCTTACGGGGTTCTGTTACATTTTTATGACCAGCTTCCACTCTTGCAGGTTCAGGGAGTACTGTGAGCAGGCCTACAAGATCCTGTGTCGGAACGGGACGTTGTTCGTCAACCTCTTTGCTATGATGAAGGCAGCAGGGCTACCGGAGCTCACCTCCTTTAAAGATATCCAGTATCTAAAGGTATGCAACAGTAACGATGCTGCTAATGATGATGCAGATGATGATGATGATGCTGACATTGGTTTCTTGTTTTCAATAGGATTGTTTAGCGTTGGGTAAATCCGAAGATGAGGCGCTGAAGAATTTCAAAGTAAAGTTCAATGAAGCTTTGCGGGAGAGCTGGAAGACCAAGGTAAACTGGATGATGCACTCCATGGCCAAAGATAATAGACCGTGAAAGAACACTGAACCAATGAAACCTGAGGACCAGCCAAAAGATTCATAGATTTTAACTTATAGACATGAAAAAGGGAAGAAAACAGTTGAATATTTTGCATTGTGAACGACATTCAAAGACAGACCTTTGCAAATGTTTACATCTCACTGGCCTGTCTGTGGTGAGTAACAGCGAAGCAGAGGCATCCAAAGACAATGAGATAATCATGAAGCGTCAGTGCAGCGCAAATATTTTCACAGCGAAGGAAATCCATCACACTCATCTTTCACCCATCTGTCAGTGGAATGTCTCTGCCTTGGGGGCGTATCAACCCAGATAATAAACGTGTTTTTGATTTTTGAAATCGCTACTTGAAAAACCACCCGCTCATGCAAAGTGTCATGAATCACTGAAACAGAAAGTTCACCTCGCCGGCTGCATTACTCAGCAGGGAGAGAGCTGCAAACAAACTTTATGACAACTTTGAACGACGCCGTGCAGTCGCAAAATACAATACCAGGGCGGCAGTTTCACCTCAAGACTTGGGTACCGTTTACAATCCTCGATTGCTGTGTCATTTCCTTTCATTTCAACTGCCTCTTTGCAATCGTGTCTTGTTTTCTTTTCTTTTTTTTTATTGTATTTTTATTTAATTTGGTAATTTTAAAGTAAGATGTAAAAGACGTAATGTGTCGTGTTGCACTGCTTCGACATTTTAATGTAATATTGCCTTGAAGTACAATATGTTGCCTTTGGAGTGCCAATACACATGAAGCATTGTAACATTTACAGTTTATTGTAAAATGAGAAAATATAAGGAGTTTTATTTTGATTATGTGCCTGTGTGCCAGGATGTGTTGTCCAGCAAATCTTTACTAAACAGCTACTACACGTTGAAGGAGTAATATGCTATTTTAGGGAATATGTTCAGTTGCCATTTTGCTTAAATGACAGGGTCAATACTACTCTCATGTATGTCAATGATACTGGAGCCGCCAGCAACCTTTAGCTCAGCTTAGCACACAGCCTGGAAACAATAAGAACCAGCTAACTTGCTTCTGCCCAGAGTAAGAGTCAATCTGCCTGCCTGCACCTCGAAATATGACATCTTAATTAGTAAACCTTAAAGGTGCTGCTTGGCAGATTGTTTTGTCCTTTGGACGGGGCCTTTTACTTTATTTATGCAAAGCCAAGCAAACGTCTCTTGGCTCCAGCTACATATTTAACAAACTCAATGTGAGTGGTATTGATTTTTCTTTTTGATTTTCAAAATGTCTAACTATTCCTTTAATGACTGCCACTGGCAACTGGAGAAGGAAATGATCTCATGCACTATAGGCAGAGATGCCATACATGTTGGGTCAAAGGGAGTGAGGCAAAATATTGATTACATGCTTCAGTAACTAGGACAATCTGTGGACTCATTTTAACCCTTTTGGTTGTGTTTCCCAAAATGTGGTACCATTCACATGTCTCTCTAGGAAGCGTAACTCATTTCATAAGATGCAGTATGTGTGTTTGTGTGTACGCATATTTGTGTGGATGTGTTCTCTGATATTTAAGTTATGCAGTCTGCCATACATTGCATTTTTTGGGTGAATGTGCCAGGTGCCATGAAAGAGATTTCATGCTTGTAGTGTCAAACACCTCCATGCTTTGACATATCTAATGCTGTTTGTCAGTTAAAGTGAGCCACAATGCTGTATGACTTCAATGTATGGTGCATTCAGATCACTTTACATGCTGTATATCCTGCTGTCACTCCTGCAAGGACCACTTGAATGAAAGCAGATTATATGCCTTTCATAGCCTCTATTTTATTTTGCAGAACAGTCAAAATGGTCTCATCTTTTTTTATGAGTCTCAGTACAATGATGACTTAAAGAAGAGCAAGTGTAGCTGTAGATTACACAGCACCAAGATTTAAATATCTTAAGCTACTGAAATATTCACTGTGGAATAGACTTTCAGTATGGGTCATCAATGTCCCCAAATATGGTCTCAAGTAAACACTGTTGTGTTAAGCCAACAGGAATGATCTTTTGCAAATCGTAAAAAAAAAAATAAAATACTGCTGTTGCATTTGAATTTATGAAATCTATCAAATGGTACAAGTCCTTTAAGGCTCAGGCCTGATTTAAATGTGTGCAGCTAAAGCAGATAAATTGTCCGGTCAACACAGCAGACATGTCCTTTAACTGCACTGTGTGTTGTTTTTTTTCAAACACATTTTGCTTTAATGCTGTCGGGAGGGAAAAACATATGCTCAATGAACAGTTTGCAACGGGAGAGCTCACTGTGGCTTTCTAGGATGCAGGCCATTTGTTAGCTTAATGTTCTGCCTAATTTTTTTGCAGCTTAAAATAGGCTGATTAATCGGATGAAGGCCAGAGCCATCAAAGCCACTCCTACTTTCTATTTTTCCCCTGGAGTATCCCCCCACTATTTTAGAGCGGTGGCCTTCTGTACAGGTCTGCAGGAGATCACGCTGTGGAGTTTTGGGAATATGTCAGTCTGTTGTGCAAAAATAAAATAACAATTTGATGTATTCATCAGCGCAGAATGGTCCGATCAGGGCCCGTCTTGTTTTTAATAAACACACTCAGTGTAGCTTCCATATCTGTGGCTATTGATTTCTCATTTGTGGTTTTGGCTGATGTGATAAAGTCCATTTAAAGATCCCAGAGCTGTTTATTGTTTTGGCAATAACATGACAAAGACAGAGATTGCAGCAGAAGAGATGGCTGTCTTGAAGATGGCTATGTTTAATGGCATCTGCAACACTGATAGTGTTTTGTGGGTTTTATTATCTTTACCTAACATACAGACAGGTGGCAAATCAAAGAATCAACAGGGCATGAAGGGGGACTGAATGCTGTGATGTCAGTCACACACTGTGGCCTTGCCAGTCTCCAGAGCCCAAGCTAAATACTTCATGTTGGTTTTTTCTTCTAATTTGTCACCAATCTGTATTTAAGAGACAAATATGAGTTAAGAGTTACTTCTGAAATGTAATACAGGTTATACTTTTATATAGCATTTAAATGCAGAATTTTAAGAGGTAATACTTCCTGTGCTGGATAGCGACATTGACTAAAATTTAAAATCTGAATCTACATTTGTGAAACCAAAAAATAAAAATATCCCAAATCAAAATTGGCATAATTTCTATGAATGACATGTTCCTCCTGGACATCAGTTAGAAAGTGGCACAAATCAAATGAGTCGTAACAAAGAGATTTATACAGACAAGATTTTTTGTGCACTTGACAAAAATATAAAGACTTTATGCAAACATGAATAGAAAAAGCTTGTTTTTGACATAGATATAAAGTTCAATACATCATTTTTATTGTTATGGTAAAGAAAGTGTTAAATCCAAGTGTGTACAGAAAGTTTTTGAGCTGTTTAAGTGGTGACAAATTCTCAACGGTTGAGTTAATACACACTTTGATCAGGTATAGTTTCAAAGAACAGTGATCAGATAAAACAGACAGTCCTTCGACCAATGACGTTCATCTTGAAATGCAACTTTATTTAAATGACACAATGCCAATGATGACAAGAAAGTCGGACTGTTGTCGTGTTGAATGCTGGCATGTCAGTTAGAGCTGTAGCCAGACGCTCGAATGTCCACAACTCCACCATTTGTCGTGTAAGAAATCGTTTAGACTGTGTGGTACGACAGACAATCTGGCCCGGAATCATCACATCCAGCTTGTCCTTCTGCAAAATAATTTGTGGTCAGCTGAACCGACTTCTCATTAAGATGCACAACCAGACAAGATGTGCTCAGATTGTGAGGAACCACCTGAGGGAAGCTCAGTTGTCGCCCACACCAAGGCCTTGTTCTAACAGCAGAGCGGCATCATAATCAACCACTGACGTTCGCTGGATACTGGTAAGATGGAGGACGGTAATTTTCCCTGCTGAAACTCATTTTCAGCTGTTCAGAGCAGGTGGCGGACATCGCTTTGGCATCGTACAAGGCAACGCTATATGATGCCAGTGCTGTACGGAGGAGTGACCGTATGGACACGCATGCACAGGGACAAATATGCGTTTCAGATTTAATCCTCACAACCACTGATACTATGCTCATTCGCCACCGTCTCCAGAATGTGCCCTGCCTTTCTATAGCAGCTTAAAAGGTTCCAGTCCTACCATGACCTGTAAACTCTCCAGACATGTCAGCTGTCAAACATTTGAAGGATGCTCTGGATTGATGCAATGAGATCCTGTCCCCTAAAAATTTCTGTCAACTTTGCCAACTCTGCTTCTGGACAACAGTCCACAAGTAGCATCCATCCATCCATTATCTATACACCGCTTTATCCTCAGTAGGGTTGTGGGGGGGTTGGAGTCTATCCCAGCTGACTTAGGGTGAAGGCAGGGGACACCCTGGACAGGTCACCAGTCTATCACAGGACTACACTTAGAGACAGACAACCAAGCACACTCACATTCACACCTACAGACAATTTAGAATCATCAATTAACCTCAACATGTTTTTGGACTTGTGGGAGGAAGCCGGAGAACCCGGAGAGAACCCACGCTGCACGGGGAGTTGACTCCCGGGTGTCCTCACCGGGACGCGAACCGGCGACCTTCTTGCTGCAAGTCAACAGTGCTAACCACCGCTCCGCCTTGCAGCCCACAAGCAGCACTGACAACCTAAATAACCGTGTGTGTGTGTGTGTGTGTGTTGCAGATGTGTGACTCATTACTGATTTGTCACTTCTGGTTTATGGTTCCACTATTATCATTTGCATTTACTGTGCATACTTAGTTGTTTAATGATGTCCATTCTGTTGCAGTGTGTTGGTATAACTCTTCTATATTAAAAACAACAGATGGGCTAGAATTTCAGGAAATATTACGAGTTCATATTTTTCTTCAGTGTATTTTCTGAGATGTGTGTTTAAATAATAACTTTACTTTTACAGCACTCTTTTGGAAAAAAGAGGTTACAAAGTGCTTTACAGACAGGGCAGATCAAGAAGGATACCCAGGAAGGCCATTGAACAGACGGACAGAAGGAGAAAAGAGTGATACAGTTAAACACGGTAAAAGATTTTCAAAATAAATCAATACAACAACAGTAAATAAAAATAATAAAAGCACCAAAAATGCCTAATGAAATTTGGGAAAAAGAACAAGCAAAATGAAAGACAACAGAGGCGAAAACCATGAAAACAAAGGACAAAGTTATAATAATAGTAAATAAATCATATAGAATAGAACAGAATAGACATACTTTATTAATTTAAGGGGAAATCTGTTGTTACAGTACCATGCAGAAAGAGTGAAGTGACCACCACCACAAATACAAATAAACAAGCAGATATAATAAAAGTAAGGTAGATAAAAGAAAAAAAAAAGAAGAAATAACAAGAATATACTAAACTGCAAAATGCACAATAAAGTGTGAGACTATGAGTAAATATTATGAGAATAAAAGTATATTACGAGTAAAAGTAATAAAATTAAAATGTACCTCAAATACACAACTATACTTTAGTAAATATACTTTACGGTGAAATGAGGAAATTAAAATGTGTAGACAGCTATGCAACATGTATAAATAAAGACAAATAAACAAAAGAGAAAAAAACAGTTGAACAATTAAAATATTTATAAATCACATAAAATCAAGTATTTAAAGGGGATTTTAAGAAGTTATGTTATTAAAATAAAATTAGAAATTGTATTAATAGAGATTCAGATAGTTACAGATGACGGAGGCCATGTGCAGTGTCGTTGGCCGGGCCGGTGGCGCCCCCGGTGGCCGGCAGCGGTACTGAGAATCCAGCCGGAGCCTCGCTGCGTTGAGTCAGTCCGCCGTAGCTCTGCCGACTGGAGGGATGTGACCCCGGAACAGGACGCCCTCCTACAACAACACACCATTCAAACAGAGCACAGAAGAAAGTAAAGCTGGACCAGGAGGGGTAAGCACTTATCTGTCGTCTTGTTGTCCGGCAGCACATTGTCAGGCGTTTCAGGAGCGATACGTGCGTTTGAATCCCCGCGTTTTACACTTCTGGCAGAGCGGCGGTACCTGGATGGTGTTTGCACCCATAGGAACTTCATTCAGGCTTTTGTCTGGGGCATGCTAGCGAGCTAGCTTGGCTTGTTAGCACTGGCCGCTTTGCCAAGGATAGCGCGGGTTTGGCGGAGACTAAACGAAACGTGTGTTTAAATTAAAACAAAGTCGACTTGTAAGTCGTTAAATAAGTGGCCACTGCGTTTTTCCGAGACGGATATAGCTTCAATATTCGTATCGAAAATGCGCTGGAGGCTCGCTGCTTGCTAGCGAGAGCGCTGCTACAGTTTGAATAGTCTGCGTCCCGCAACATGATAACAGGAACTGCTCGGTCATGTGTATCCATCTCGAGGAAAAAAAAAAAACAAAACAGCTGCTTGTTGTTGCATTTTGCTGTGTTTGAGGGTTCAGGCATTCCAGTTATTTTTCATCCAGTGTTTGTCTTTGGAAGAAAACTAACACGATTTGTCCATAATACAGTCAGAAACAAGCTCAGCTAACGTTAGTGTGCGTTACATTTCCATTAATACACTCAACATCAACACAGTTTACTGTCTCCTGCTGATAATAAATTGTACACACAACACACACACAGGATGAAAACCTACATGTAAATGCATAGGAACCCATTTGTAACACTCATCAAACCAGTCAGCCAAGGCAGACTGAGAGTTGATTTAAAACCCATAAAAGCTGCTGTCCATGGAGCCACTTTATTTCAAAATTCATGCTCAAGTTTGCTTTTCACATAGCTCACTTAACTGGTTTTCTATTTTTGGATCGTGCCACCCATGGATGCATTGTGCCACCTCGCCTTTTACAGTGTCTGCTTCCACCCCCCACATGTCAGATAGCTGACAACCCCTTTGAGTGGCGAAGCTGGCACCCTGCAGGCAGCTGGGCATGGACGAGTGCTGCAGCCAGTGTGTGTGTCAGGGCTTGGCCGCAGGCAATCCTCCTGGCAACTACTAGACTTGGTTCTGGACCTTGGTTCTGGCCTGTCCTTAGTTTGCACATTCCCCTAGCTGTCTGGGTTTTTCAGAGAGACTTGGACCACGCTGGCCTCCCTCCCCGTCAGTGCCTCCTCACACTCATGGCAGGTGCTCTTCGGCGGCTGCGCAGCCTCCTCGAGCCCTGAGGGGACGTCATCAGCTGCCTGCGAGCAGAGTTTGGACAGGGAGGCTGGTTCATCTCTGTGTTTGGCACAGCACTTGTCATCCTGTCAGCATTAACCGCGCCACGTCGTAGCCCTGTTGTGGCCTGACACTGTAACATTAGAGCCGCTTGCATCCACTTGTGGCTTTCACACTCAGTCAGAATGACGGAGGCCCCCCACATGAGCAGCATGTCTTTTTAATGATTTTAAAGAATCAAACCTAAAGATACAGCAATCTTTTCTATTTCAACCTTTTTCATTTTCCTGTTGTGCTTCTTGTAAGTCATCAGGAACACTATGTTTTTTTTGTCTGTTGTGCATGGTATACTGCACTGTATTCTTCCAAGCACATGGATCATATAACTGTTTGCAAATCAGAAATTTATGCCCTGCCTTGACGCAGGCTCCTTTGAAAATCTTGCAGCGGCACCCCCAAGGGACCAGCTTAAGGCAGCAGCTTCTGTTTCAATTCACTTGAGGGACCCTGAGGAGTGAGCATAGATGTTCTGTAATCATATACCAGATGAGATTTAATTATTTTATATAGCATGGTCTGTAAAAAAAACAGAGCTTTATCAAATTAGATATAACAGAAACATTTGCAAAATCAGATCCTGTGAATTGTATAAAGCTTTAAAAGACAGGGTTACATTTAAAAACCGTAGTAGTCTTATTACAGATATGCAAATTTAATTATTTGCAAAAAAGCTCTTTCAGCTTTCTAGGAAAAAACGAAATTGCGCATTAGCTTTAGGTATAAATATGTACTGTAACATATTCTCTGTAGTATCAAGTTAATGTGGTGCAGAAATGGTCAAAGGACAGTTAAGCACACCCAAAAACCCAGCTATGAACTAAGCTTGTACAGTTCAGCAAGATTGTTTGAGTTCATGCCTCACATGGTGACAACAAGACATGACCTACTTATCAATCATGTTTTCACAATCTAGTTCATCACCATTGTCCCCAAATACTGTAGCCATTGTTGTGAACACTGTACATGTGAGCAGACGGCAGCGTGCAGACAAGCAGTGAGTCCGAGTCAGAGCCTTTCTGGCCTGCGGTGTCTGTTCGTTGTGCTCGTGCTGTTTCAGGACCCCAAGCAGCCCAGATCTAAAGGGAGTCAGTCTGCTGGGTGTCGAGTAGTTTTCATTGTTTTCACCATTGCTGTGGTGTGGTGCACGACAGGATAGATGTTACTATTTAGTCTACATGTTATTTTCTTGTGCTGAAACAATTAACTGACTGATACATTCTGTCAACAATTTTGAGAATCTATTAACTGCCAAAAAAATTATTTGGAAAGTTAGAAAATAAATACAATTTATTGTACAATTAAAGTTTGTACCAGCTTCTAAAATATGGGCACCTAATGCTTTTCTCTTCTGTTTTACATTTATTTGAATTTGTTGTTTTTAAGTTTGTCATTGTTGTTTTGAACAAAACATGCAGTTGAACCTGAACTGTGGGAATCTGTGTGGTTATTTTCACCCATTAATAATTGGTTGATCAAGTAATTAAGTGACAAATGAATTGGGCAATACTTCATTTAATTTTTTATATACTGTCAAACAGTATTACATGATCAGTTAAAAAGTCTCATTCCGATTAATGGTTTTGTTTTATTTTTTTTTTGCGGCACTGCAGTGTTGAACGAGACCATTGTTCTGTCTCAATTTCAGCTAACTAGTCGTGTTAATAGTTCTCACAGCACTGTTAACCATCAGTAGAAGTAAGTGTGCATTTGTGAGTGTGTGTGTGTACCTGCAGCAACACAGCTGCTCTACAGAACCAGGCCAGGTTGTTGGCAGCTGAGCTGGCAGCCACACCAGGCTCATAGCCTACTTAAGTTTCTCACACATTTGCTTGGGATGTTGGAGCAGCCCATGACTGAATTCTAGTTATTTTTCCTTCTCAGTTTTTCCCTTCCGTCGCGGCTATTGACCTCTCAGAGTCCTGCGGACTTCAGTTCTGCTTGCTAGAGGAATTTTATTTGTAAATCAGACGTTGCGCATCATGTGAACAGCTGATTCTGGAGCCAGTGACAGTGGACAAGGATATGTGCAAATGGGCCATGGCACTGTGGCAGCCTCTGCTCCTCTTGACCCTCAGCAAATGTGAAGGCCTATCACATTGCGTACTGTAATCCCTGGCAGCAGACCCTGATTGCACTGTGTGGCCCAGCCAGAGCCCTGAAATGATTTTGAGAAGTGTTCTTCGTGTTTTTGGTTCTCAGAGACACTTATAGACACATTGGTACACAGGAAGTCCAGCATGACGTGTGAGGAAAAAGCTTTCCTCTATTTTTAAGTGGCGTTACTGAATGTGTAACGTCTTTAAGAAGTGTTGCACTGCTTTGACAGCGTCTCTGCCGTGCAGTGACCGTTTGAACCAAGTCTAATCTCCTTTGCTAGGGTTGTATGAAATTTAGCAGTGCTTTTAGTAAATGCTGAAGTCACAGCAGCACTTATTCTAAATCACAATATGATTTTAGACCTTGGCTTGTCATTTAGACCCTGACTGGGCACTTTTTGCTGGATATATCTGACTCGTCACTCATCAGCGTCCCAGAAAGAAAAATCTCTCTTTAATTAAGCTTGAATCTGTTTAAGTTGTTTGTGAGAAATCGTTTTTTTTCTCTCTATTTTTCTTGTTGTTTGCTTGTTTTCAGCCCCCAACTGCCCCCTTTTGCCTTAGACATGTGTGTACATTCCTGGTAAGAACAACACAGTTGCAACTTGACATGGTGTAAATACAGACAGAGGGGTTGTTCAGTCAGTTTTTTCATACGTTTATCTTACCAAAGTACAAACTGGAATTTAAAAAATGCTTCATACGAACATATTATGTTAATTTCAATCATATTCCAGCCTACTACAGCTATAGCAGATATCCAGTGTCTTGCCTTGTGCTATGCAGTGAATCGGATTATGGTGCTACATCATCATATATAGGTCCGTCTCCAATTCACAATTAATTTCAAGATAGCCATTTGCGATGTATCATGGTGAATGTAAATTAGGATGAAACTAATACCTGTCAATACATTTTTTTAGGACACTAGAGTCACTTGTATGTTGCATGTATTTAAAAGGTTTGACTACTGCACTGTGGTTTTAGAACAAAACTGAGAAAAGTTAATGTTTGAGGATATATTTAACCTATTTTTTTATACACTTACACAGTCAAGCTTTGTATGCATTTATGCAGTATGCTTTTATCTAAATGTCAAAGAGCTACAACCTGACACGAGGCTGGACTGGCAGAAAGCACAGCTGTTAAAATGAGTGGTGGCAACAGATAGTAATAAGTCAGTAAGACCAAAAAAAATGACTGCAAACTACTTTAAACATCAATTAACCTAATCTATTCCAGTCATTTGCCAAACAAAATCTGTGAAAATTGATGTCAGCCTTTCAAATGAAAGGATTGCTTTGTCATATTTCATGGTAAATAAATCATTTTTGATTGTTGGTCATTCAGAACAAGATATTTTAAGATGGCACCATGATGACTGGGATTTTTTTTTCTTTTCTTTATCATACTTTTATTGGAAACTAGTGGTATCATTAAACGATAATGAAAAAAATTGTTTTTTAAAGCCATAAAATTGTGTAGAGCACAGCTTAGACATTGGGAGCTGACCCTTGTGTTGTTTTATTTTATTTTTTACTTTGGTTTTCCTTAGTTCAGTCTCAGTGATGATGTGGTTTAGCTGGACTGCCTAGAGGGGCTCAAAGAGCTTGATG